TAAACGTATCTCAGCTTTTAAAGTGTCTCTGTGTAGAAGTGGTTATTTTAGACGTGCTAAGCGCTGTCCTTTCTGGGTGCATCACTGGCCTGTTCTGGCAGACGGTTAAGCAAGCATCCCGTTTTGCTGTGACATCGTAGCGGCGTTATAGCTGGACCTGGCTAGAACTACAGTAAATTAGGGAGGAAATGTTTACTGAGAGGTTATTGTGGTATGCTTGTGTATTCCAGAGAAAGAAGGGTGATACAGACAGATGAAATATTGTAGTGATGCTATATTGATTCATCAGTACATAACCAGCTCTGCTGCATGGGAGTGTTTATGGGAAAATCTGCAGTTGTCTCCTTTTTCTGCATTTTGGATGCTTTGAGGGGAGATGAAATAGTTTGAATGGAATTAAAGTAAGACTCAGCGTAACAGTTTTGACACGGGAAAATACATTCTGAATTCTCAGGATTGCCTTAGTTATTTTTGCATTCTTAAAAGTGTGCACGCGATACTGAGATGTTTCTGCACAAGAACAGGAGTAATGGAGTGGTGCTTATAAATAGTTGTTTCTGGTTTATGTAATCTTTGCAGGTGTGTATGCAGTCTGTAACAGTTACAGACTGCTTTTGTAACATACTTTTTTTTTTTTCCCCCCTGAAAATTTTGTTCGTGAAATTGTCTTCGGCAGCAGCAAAGTGTTATTTTTCATGTCTTCATTGTAGTATTTTGAGAAGCATAGCAGGTTACTGAAGAAAAGGGTTGGACCAACAGATCTAATTATTCTAGATACAAATTTGGCAGGAGTGGCTTTAATTTAAATTGGGGAGAGTTTTGGAAACACATTGGTTTCTGGTGCTCTGGTTATTTAGGCCAAAACACTGATTTCTCTCTCCATGTTCTCCCTTCCACTGGGAAAGGAAGCCACACAACCAACCTGTATTTAATATATGCTACCTCCTTTTGCTGATCATGATCATTTTTTTTCTTAAACAAAATTAAATTTCCATTTACCTTACAACTTAGTGTTTGCTTTAATAGTCAGGGAATGGGTCTTTAGGAACAGGCGTTGTATGCAACAAATGCCTGTTTTGCGATTTGCCTGGTGTATGATTTGATGCAACCATTTGAAGGACTGAAAGTTGAGACAGTATCAAGTGTTTCCAACTGTAGTTGAGAAGTTTGAAATTTGCTGGAAAGATTCGTTAGCGTTTGATCAGGCTTGGCTTGCACCCTGTGTCTCTGATGTGCTGATCTATCAGACTCGATACGTGTTCATGATTCACCCCTTTAAATGTAGCTAAGGAGAAGTAGAATCAAGCTTGCTCTTTAGAGCATCTGGAATGTTAATGTGCATGGATTTATGTAGAACTTCTGTTCATTCCTGGGGAAAAAAAAAAAAAAAAAGCTGGTTGCAGAAAGCTTCATACTTCAGAAGGAATAAAATCCCTTCAGCAACATGTAAGTTATTCCCAAGACAGGCTTCTAGCCTTGTGATGTGAGTGTATTCTGTGCCTCTGGCTTGCAAATCCAATTGCAAAGTTCCTATTGATGTTTTACTTTAATTGAGCCTTCTGAGTTTCATTTCAGGGTTGGCCCTGTGAGCGTAAATGGACCCAAAACCAGCAGAATTATTGGAGGTACTAATGCAGCGTTTATATCCCTTATGAGGCTAAATGCTTGGGATAATGAGATCATCTGGGGGCTCCAAGCAATCCAGCGTTACAGAGCAAAACCTGAGGGTCTTGTGTCACCGTCTGTGAGTTCCCTATGTGTGAGCGCACTGTACAGGGCGGCAGCGGCTGTGCTGTGCAGTTTGTCAGTCTACTCAGCCCCTGCAAAAGTCTTTCTGCCCCTTACGCTTGAAACGTGCAGGAGCTGGAGGAAGAAGAAGTGGTGGGTGAAGGACAAAGTACAGTCACAGGACCAAACCATTTTGGTTTTCAGCGCAGTTCAAGAGTAGCATTAAGGGCTAAAAGGTGGGAGGGTATAGTAGATACTTAGTTCGTGTCTGATTCTTGAAACTGGCAATGTTTTCTAAATACTTAGCTAATGTAAGTGGTGAGTAAAGATTACATGTACAGACCCAACTTTTGTACCTTCAGTCAACTACGCTTTGGGGACAATAGGCTGTAAAAGCATACTCGGATCCTTTCACCCTTTTCCTCTCTTGGGTAATGGGGAAGGAGCATAGAGCAAGGCACGTACAGCTATTCTGAAGGGTGCTTCAGCTGGTGAAATGCTACTGTGTGCTGCACTTCCCACCAGTGTCCTTTTGTGTGGTATGCAGCCCTTAAAGCGAGCGGGAGGAATTACATAGCAAACAGCTATAACTAACCTCAGCACTTCTGTCCTTGTCTTTTGAGTGGAAAAAGCTGTGGCTGCATGGTTGGTGTATTGAAGGGAATGAATGTTCTTGATGATGAGTTTTAGTACAGTATGTAGTTTGGGGGAGCTACATGTAAATTTGTGGTTAAGTGGTCGAGGAAAAACTGTCTCTTCAGAACACTGTCACACCGCGTGGCAAGTGCGAGCCGTGAAGTGATTAAATGCGAGAAGATTAATCTTTTTGTCACGAACGTTTCAGAGGTGCAGACACTGTGGGTTTGATGCTTTTTTTTTTCCTCACATTCCACAATGTAAAGTTTAAAAAAAGCCTGGGGAGCAAAGTGACTTAATCAGATTTTTCTTTGACCTTTGTGAAAAGCTGAGCATCTGCTCAGAGCCGTCACTGTCCTTTACACCTGTGAGAAGGTGAATGTCCTGTGTTTGCAAAGGGATAATTTGCTGTCCTTATGGAAGGGGCTCTGTTGGCCAACTCATGTGACTGGCACTTTGGGGACTGCACCTTTGATTGCAGTGTGTTTCAGTACGCTTTAGGATGAAAAAATACACTTTGTGGATATTGTTACTTTTGCTTTATAAAGTTAATTCCACTTACAAATGTGAATTGTCCCTAAACTTTTCATGGTTTAGAAAATTATTATTTGCAGTAATAGTGATTTCTTAATTTACAGTATTAAAACAAGTGGGATTCTTGTAGACCATGTTCGCTTAACAACGTCCTCATTGTCAGATGATGAACCATGGGTGCAACTCTGAGTCAAATGTGAAGGCCCCACTTGCTATCTGTAGCTGGTAAATCGTTTCCTCTTTCAGTACTTGCGTCTCTATTTCATCAGCAGAATTTATGTTTAAGCAGCTGTAATATTGCATTTCTTAAATTTGCTTGAATGCAGTATTGTTCTTCCATAGTATTTATAATGTATGGGTGTTGCATGTAGTGGTGACTCAGTTTGGAAACTGTCTGGAGTACCTAGGTGATTCTGACCTTGGAGGCATTACATAGTGGTGTACACGTCTGTGTGTCTGGGCACAGTAGTCAAATGTGATCTTAAATGAAGGCTCTGTTCTTGTCAGCTTGTTCCCTATAGAGGATCTGCAGAGCTGGACCTAGGTTTGATGTAGCAAGTCTTTTCTTAAGTGGACATCTGGGGTTTTTTGTATGTACCACTGTAGCTGATAGCATACAATGGAAATCTGTGTCTGTGTGATCCCACCCATCCCATTCTCACCACCACCCGAAGCCCAATTCTTTGGTTTTGGGTGTTAACTGTTATTCTCCAAGACTGAAAGGAAGGGGAGATGGTTTCTGAGGGGACAAGGACACAGGTTAGAAGTATTTAGTCTTGAGTGCTAAATCACAAGTTAACTCTGATTGAGAGTTTCCATTGCATAAGGTAATGGGCCTAGCCTTCAAAGGTGGGTGGATGAATTGTTTGCAGCTTAGGACATCATCTTCTGTAGCGATGGCAAATGCTCTTCTGAAAAGTGTATTTTATTGTAAATTGGCTGCGAATTGTTGCAACTTATTTGGTATTATTCAGACAACTCCTAGAGGCAGAGCTGTGCATCCCTGACCCCTTTCTTTGTTTTTAGTAGAATCTTGTTTTCTATTTAGTAACATGTTAAATGTTCTGTAGAGTCTGGAATTTCACCTACAAAAATATACTCCTGGAGTAAGGCACCCTAAAAGCAAACACAGTGAGAGGTTGAGGGGGGGGAAAAAAAAAAAAAGATGAGGTCAGGAGTAAATGAATCTTATTTATAATTTTGGCTTGGTTACTCTAAGGCTCTTGGTAGAAGTTGTATACGACTGCTGGAGATGGGCACTTCAAAGCAAAATACACTTTTCATTAGCTCAGTATTCTGCATAGTTATTTGGACAGTTTTGAGGTGGCAAAATTGTCTGGCATTAATATCGCCTCCTTATTTCACAGTGGATCACTCGCTGTTTTAAGTGGTCAGCCTGCATATGCAGATTATGGAGTGAGAAATTGTTTATAGAAGTTGAATCACTACAAAGTATCTTAATTCTGCAGCACATACCTTTGTGCATTTGCCCAGCACAGGATGGTAGTTCAGGCTGCTGCAGCCTGTAAGTATATGTGCATTTTAAAATTAGGGCTATTGTAGTCTTTTTCATTAGTTTAAAAGTAGTTGATTTTTAAACTGTTAAGATGTGCTGTGTGGGAGCTCCTCTTCTGCTTGCAGGAGCTGGTCAGTAGGAGAACAGGGTTACGTGTGAGGTCCCCGCGTACACCCCTTGGTACCTCCAGGCACTAGGAGTAGAAAGACTCCGATATGGTTTCTGAAGGAGTTGCTGGGTCTTCAGTGTATGAATGGCTGAGTAATTTTGTTTACAACTCTGCTTTGCTTTAGGAAAAAGGTTTTCTATAATATTGTCACCGACCTATTCTTTTAGTTCCTACCTATTCATTAAAGAGTGGAGGATTTACAATCTTTCAGTGTGAGTCAAGACTGCAGAATATCTTTTTTTTTTTTTTTTTTCCCTTCAGTCGCAGACTCTTCCCATTTGTATTGTGGCTGCTCAAGATCCCCCGCTTTCTTGAACCATATGGGAAGGCAGTCAAACATGAGACGATGTTTTTCTGGACTCTGCAGCTCATTAGTGTTACTCATGTTGTGAAACATTCTTTTAAAGCAGAATTTCAAAAGCCATACTCCACATGAAGAGTAGGAGCCACTGCTGCACTGTAACTTAATAACATGCTTTACATTATTGCCTGTGTTGATTGCTGGAAAGGTAACCTGCTAATGAATTTTTGAAATTCACTTTCATCCTGTTTGAAATAACGCTTCTGAGATTAGTTATACATTGAATCCAATCCAGCCATCAAAATGCAATGCTCTGTTGAGTTTCCTTTGTGTTCATATAAATATTTAAAAATAACTTCCCCTTTCAATATAATCATGCACTTTTCAGATGAAATTTGTCTTCCTCCTTCCACCCCTAGAAACTCTGTTTTTTCTATTTCACTTTTTAAAAAGGGTAAGCTGGTTAAATTGGTGAGATGAAAAACCACTGTTGTCTCTTGGCGTATTGCAGTCTTTGTCCTTTTCAATCAATGGCTTTGGCTCTAAAATACAAAATGGGAAGAAGCAGTATGTATGTTGTATGTATGCACATAGGTGTGTACAGGATACGATGGCTTTAGTCTTTCTTCTCAGGCAGGTGTGCAAAGGGTGATTTGGATCCCTTTGGAATTTTTACATGATTACTTTGCCTCTGTGTTGTCTGGATAACCTTGTTAACCTGATCAATAATTTCTTTTGGCACAGTTTATTTAAAAAATGTTTGTTGGCATTACTAAATAAAAAGTTTCTCTGGATCTAAAAATGGACAAAAATGTAGATGAGGTTTCTAGATTACTTACAGCACAGAGCAGTGCAGTTAAAGTGCAAGAATGACGTGTCGATTGCCCAGTGTTCATTGGCGATCACTGAAGCGGACATGCATGTTCTAAAGCACGTAAAGAAGCAGTTCTGTTGCAATGTTGTCCCTTCATTTATTTGGGGAAGAGTCAGCCTAATTGGAAAAACAACCAAAAGAACAACAACGATCCCCCAGACACCCTTAGAAAGCCAGTAAAGCATTAAAAGTTGAAATGGGGTCTCTTGGGAATTAATGCCTCGTTTAGAAAGGTGGTCCCCAGTGAGCTACAAGTTATCCAGGTAGTTCTTAATCCTGAGGAAGTGCCACCGTGGATTATCATTCTTCTTCTTGTAGCTGAAATAACACAGTTTTCTTATGTTAAATATGTGTCACTTGGCTGTCTCTTGTTGGTATTTTTCAAGTGCTTCTGCTTAGTACCTAAAGAGGTTTTAAAGCAGATCCTTGAATTCTACCATTTTAGTGAGGCTGGTATTAGTGCTCCTGGTAGCATTTATGTATCTGAAGGGAAAAGGTCATTTGTGGTGCTAATACTTACTCCCGTGTGAACAGCACATACAATTTATCTCATAAATTACTAATTTCTATAGTTCAAAAATTTTACTTTCATTGAACTGAGTCTGTGGATATGCGGATAAAGGAGTATTAGCTATGTGACAGGAAAATGGTCATCTTGCAGAGATACTGAGAATACTGCTTGTAACTAACTTGACTCCTGGCATCAGTTCAACTCCCCTCCAGTTACCTCGGGGAAATTGCTTATTGGGTGCCTTGGACAGTTTTCTCTGGCTCGGTCTATACTGTAGGCTGAGCCGGTAGCTGCTCTTAGTATGAAGGTTATTTAACACTTTTATTGAAGTCATATTTTCTGCTGCTTAAATTTTTTTTCCAAGTTAGTGTGCTCAGACTGCAATTTTCTTTCTTCTGTGCCTGCCTCACATTTTTTTGTATTTCTGATTAGTCAGGTTTGATCAGTTGTTACCAAGGCTAGTGTCTTGCACGTACTAAACACGATGCGTCTTCAGTTTTGGAAAGCTGTAGCGTTCCCATTCATTGGAGCAAGGTTTTGAAATTTGGCAGACAATAGCTGTTGAACAGGGATATGCCTTCTGCTCTTCTTGAGAAAATCTGCCCAAATTAGGCAAACTTGTAAGTCTTTGGAAAAATACCACTTTGCAAGTACTTGGTGAAGATATTAGTGCTGAAGTCTTCAGAAGTTTCAGCGTGTGCTGAGTGCGTTTTGGCCTCGGAGGGGTTTTTGTGGGACAAGATGATGCAGTCACCCGCAGAATAGTTGAACATGCCTCAGTCTGGGCCTTGCAAGAATGCAGCCAGACTTTCCATGTCATGGCTGCTCAAGGCCAGGGTGGAGGTTGGCAGCCTCTTGAGCTCTCAGATTCCTTCAGTGGCACCCAGCGGTGCAGAGGAGGAAGATGGCTGGAACACAGTCCTGCACGAGTGGGGTCTGGGCTGTACTAAAGAAGGATAATGTGCATGGGCAAGTTGGGAGCAAGTGGACTTACAGCTAGGAGAGGAAGGGGATGAAAGGCATGGCTGCACTGGGTCATGCTAAAGGTCCATCTGACCAGCAAACTGTTTTTTCTCTTTTTGTGTTCACCCAAGGGCAAGGAATGGGGGAAGAGATGCTGTGGTCAGAGAGAAACCTAGCTGATTCAAGAGACCAAATGTGGTGGGGAAGAAGTAGAGCTCAGACTAGGATCTGGTTACAGAAGCTTGGAGTTGCTTGTTTAGGAACCATTCCTGTGACTGGAGTGCCAAGAGTGATGGGAATGGGGTCGTTTGAGGAGAGGCAATTTGAATTGGCAGTTCTGGTAGTAAAGTCGGGGAGGATGAGAGAACTGGGACTAACTGGACAAAGGAAACAACAGAGAGGAGCTCAGGAGGAGAAAGGGAGTTTAAACAGAAAAGCCAAGGAACCAGTAACAAGGAAACAGCTTGGATAAAAAGCGTGTGGGGAGAGCAGGGCTGGGCTCTGGGTAGGGCGGGTGGGATTGCGGCTCGCAGCCAGGCAGGAGGTGCAATGGGATTAGAGCATTAGGTGCGGCAAGTCAGGAGTTTGATGGGATCAGGAGAAAGTGTAGTGGGTACACAAGGGGAAGGAAGAAGCATGGGTCAAAGGATGAAGGTTAGATAATAAAAAGAAGAATAGTGAAGGGACCTAGCAGTCCTCTTCTGCATGCTTGGTTTTGTAGCGTTGCTATTTTTATAGCTTTTTCCATGTAATATTTAAGTAGAGTTGACTTACTGGTTTGAATGTGTGCACGTTGATTTCTGTGGTTGCATTTTGCATCTTTACTCGCTGTGGAAGAATATTTGACCGCATCCCCAGTTGAGAGCTGTATCCAGGAGTGTGTGCACTGCTGTTTTTCATCCACCCATTCTGTGCAGAAAGCTTTGAGGAATTGTTTAGCAAATAGGTTTAAAATGTCTTCAAATGACATTTTTCACTCTGCATTATGCTTTCTCTTATGCAGAGATAAATGCTTTAACACGTTTATCTTGTATTTACAAAAGGAAAAAAATGATTGGCATGCAGCAGTGAGTGAATGGAAGTGTGTTTTTGCAAACAAAAGCTGAATGGGGAAGGGAAATATTTCTTGCCCTCTTGAGGGCTGTTGATCTGTCAAATGTGGGTCTTACAGGAGTGGCATTCATTAAGAATGTGTAACTAAGGTTTTGCTGTAGTAAAAGAAAAACTGTCAGTGGATGAACCAGGAGAGCTGGGATAGAGCACTACATAAATATTTTTTCACTTATCCCGCCTCTCTCTCCCAAGTATAACAACCTGAGATACTTCTGCTTTTGCGTTGCCACTGGAAAAGCCTGAAAATAAAGGGTGAGAGGAGAGGTTTGTATATACTGGTCAAGTGCCCTTATTTCCTTACAGCTCTTTGGAGTTCTGAAACATCTGTGTTTCACAGAGGTTGCTTTTTGGCACATGTTTGTAACTTAACGTGTAAAAGCTGAAAAACCATGTAGCACAGCTTTGCTACAGTTTTTGGTGCGCAAAAAACCTCTAAGGATTGGTGAGTAGCTTCTTTGCTGCTTTGCTCCGAGAGGCTGCCATCAGCTGATCAGAAAGGCTACATTCTCCTGAAGGACAGCCAGCCTACCCATGGTGATCAAGGCATTCACTGCTTAAAGATACTGTCGCATGCTTACCCGAAAACCAGAATTGTAAGCTGTGCAAATGCACCAGCCTGTCCTTTAGGTAATGAGAATGCGTATCACATGACATGTGTGACTCTGTTCCTATTTAAATCAGTGCCCTGGGGATTTACAGCCTTATTTTTGGAATGGGGGGGATAGCTAGGTTCCAACTCTATTTAAAGACAAAATAATGTTTCTCTGGCTGTGTGGCTGCATTCAGTCTTCTAGGATGCAATCAAGTAGCCCGGGAAACAACACTGGAACGGTGGAAGCATGCATCCGTTCCCGGGATAGCATGATATGAACTGTGACCACTTCTATACCTCATCTGGATAATTGTGGGATGTCTTTTTTCTTTTTTTTTTGCATTGTGGCTTTTGCTTTGATTTTTGTCTCTGTCATCCTTTAACTTGTATTATGTATAAAATTGTTGAAAGCTCCTTTTCCAGAGGTTGGGTATGATTGGCATGAAACCATCTCAAAATAGGAAAGCTATAATTGTTGGAAGAAGATGACTTTTGCAAGACGTGCTGTTGTGAAACACACACACACCCCTAACTCAGGCATCTTGGGAGATCTGCATGGTTGTTGATGCTTTTTGAAAACACTTAGTCTTGAATAGAAAGCTTGTGTAATCATAGTGCCAAAATTTAATGTTTGTGGGAGTGTGTTGAATTGTTCCAGCTAAGAAAAGCCTTCACTGAGCTAAACAACATAAATATAAATATTTCACTTGGTTATTAGCAGTTGAAGTGCTTGGTGGTTAGGAACAGCATGACGAAGTAGTGCACTCCATTCACACAAAAGTCAGAAGATCTTTTATATAGCATGCATGGTTTTCATGCGCATGACTACAACAATTTTTATTGAATGTTGAATCTGTTGTTGCCTTAGCTTTTGTAGTTTGCTTGTGGGTTAATCCCTGGGAACAACAACAAAAAAAAACAAACCTGGAGCATTGTCAGAGTAGTAAAAAGCTAGAATTCATGCTTCTTGAAGAGTTGGACAAGTGAAAAAGCATCGAAATAGCGGAGATTCAAAACCTATTTTATAATTAGAATGCACGTGCAGTGATTGTAAGTGACTGGTCAGTGGAGCAATGTTGATTTCCCTCTGGGGGAGAGGCATTCA